CGCTTACTTTTCAATTCGAAACAGAAAAAATATATTGGAAAAATGTGTTCACGCGAGTTTGCGCTGTTGTCAAATAGTTATCTAGTCATGGTTTACCTTTTAGAGGTGACAATGAAAATATTGGTCCACCGCACAATGGTAACTTTATGATGTGTCTTGAATTGATCGCTGAGTTTGATCCTTTTTTGGCCAATCATTTATCAAATTATGGTAATCCTGGGAAAGGTCACACTTCTTACTTATCTCATTCAACTTATGAACAATTTATTAAATTGATGGCATCTAAAGTTCAAAATAAAATAGTCGAAGAAGTCATAAGTGCACAATATTTCTTTATAATTATTGATTCAACTCCAGATATTGCACACGTTGATCAACTTTCTTTTATATTAAAGTATGTAAATGATGGAGGTTTACCGGTAGAAAGATTTTTATGTTTTTTAGAAAATATTGGACATAAATCCCAGTGTATGGCTGATGCAGTATTTTCTACTTTAAAAAAAATTTAATATTGATATTACATATTTAAGAGGTCAGTCATATGACAACGCGAAAAATATGTCTGGTCTTTACTCAGGCCTCCAGGCTAGAATTAAAGAAATTTCCCCGTTAGCTGACTTTGTTCCTTGTTCAGCACACTCTTTGAATTTAGTAGGATCATGTGCAGCAAGTTGCTGCAAGGAAGCCAATATATTTTTTAATTTTATTCAGAATATTTATACATTTTTTGCTGCATCTACTCATCGTTGGAACTTACTTAAAGTAAATTTAACCTTAAAAAGTCTCTCTGATACAAGATGGTCCGTACGAGATGATGCATGTAAAGCTCTGAACCAAAATTGGGATAACATTAAACAAAGTTTGTGTGACATATCAGAAAATATAAATGAAAAACCTAATAGGTACCCATAATGAAGCTCGTGGTTTGCTTAAATTGATGAACCGTTTTGAAGTTACCTTTATGTCATTATTTTGGGGTGATTTACTTCAACGATTTAATGTAGCTAGTAAATATCTACAATCTGTTAATATTGATGTATGTACTGTTTGTGATCAATATGAATCATTGATAAGATATGTCATAAATCTACGTTCAGATGATATGTTTACACATTATGAAAAACTAGCCTTGAGAATGTGTAAAAATAAATATGAAACAATTTATAAACGTATAAAAAGAAGGTCAAAATATCATGATGAAACAACTAATGATAATAAAATTAATTTAGCCGGTAGCTTAGAATTAAAAGTAAATACATATTTTGTGATATGTGATTCTTCAATAGAAGAATTAACAAGTAGAAAGTTAGCTTATGATAATGTGATCTCAAAGTATAGTTTTTTTTTAAAACATACCAAGATAAAATCATCAGAAGTTCGTGTTTCAGCGGAACATTTGTGTTCAATATATAAAAAAGATTTAGATGTAGTATTTATTAATGAATGTGTTCATTTCCAAAGTTACATTCAAAGTAAAAAAAATCCTCCAACAACTATAATTGCTATGAGTTCTATGTTAAAAACAGAAGAATTAGAAGACATTTACCCTTATGTGAGTATTGCTTTACACATGTTTTTATGTACTCCGTGTTCAAATTGTACTTCTGAACGGTCATTTTCAACTCTACGTCGTATTAAATCTTATGTAAGATCAACAATATCTAAAGAAAGATTAAATGCACTTGCTATATTGAATATTGAATCAGAAATAACAAAACAAATTAAATTTGAAGACATTATTGATAATTTTGCTACTATTCAATCTAGAAAAAAGTTATAAAAAATATCTTATTGTTTGTTATAATTCACTGTTTATACTATTGAATATGTTTATTATAATAAGTAGATAGTACTTCCGTTGTAAATTCTTGTTTTTCTTTATTTACTATTAAAAATGTAGAGATGTATCATACAAATTGGAATACTATGTTATTTGATAAATTTAATTTTACTTACTAGATATCAATGCGTTCCTAAGTTAAAATATATTCACTGTATTGGTACTTGGTAGAATGGCATGTGTTGAAATTGATTTGATAAAATGAAATTTGTATTCATTCATATATATTATTGGTATGTGCAAAGAACAAAGGCAAACTTATATTGTTTTTAATTTGGTTAGTTTTGTTGGTTAATAGTTTGTGTACCTACAGTTTTATAGGATTTTTCACATGCATCACCATAAAATATAAGTGTGACCCAAATATGGCTTGCCATTATTTATTATCCGGACTTAAAAAGTTATATTTTAAACATTTTAATTTAAATTACTTTTTCTACTTATTCGGTAATGGTAAGAAATCATAGGTAATAAATTTATATACCTACTTATATTATATAAATATTTATATAACTATAATACATTTAAGTTATAATTAATATGTATGAATAATACGTTTTGTGTTAAGGTATAATGAAATGGAAAGTTATTCGCGAGCGTAGCGACCGGCTTTGGTTGAGTAGTTAAAAATACATAATTGACTCTCTTTGGAGTTCTTATATATTACATTGGAAATGGGGGCGGCAAAATATTGTTGCTCGTGGGCGAAAAAATCTTAAATACGGCCCTGACAGTTAGTCATTCCTACAAAAAATGATCGAAATGACAAAAAAAGAATTATAATAATGATAATAGTTAAATTTGACGATTAAAAAAAAAATGTATCATAATAATATGTATAATATAAAATAATGTATAATATAACATTTATAATGTAAACATATATAGTTAACATAATCTGATGTATAAAACAATCATTTTTAACCACGCCAATGATTACTAAATGTAACTAAATAAAATAAATCCAACCTCTTCAAATGCATGATAATTTTATTGAAATACTTTTTTGAGCCCAAGTGCAGTTCGACCACTACCTGCTTTTTACCCGAGTGCAGTTCGACCATTAACTTTTTTAAACCCAAGTGCAATTCGACCATACCCTTACAAATTATAGCCAGATATAAATACGCAACGAAACGTTTGATATCAGTATTTGTGGAATAATAATGTGCCTCTCCCGTAACTACAGCAGACGGACCGTCACGGTCGACGATAATAGGTGATTACGGCCTACTGCGGCGCCGCCGATACAGCGCGCAACGCCATCTCTGGAGCGTTGCATACGTTTTATTTTGCGCTGACATCCTCTTAAATGGAATTTTTTGATAAAAATCTATATTCTACCATAGACCTTATACTCATAGACGGAGCATCCAGGTGGGATGAAGGCGGGTGGTGCGGTTTGATACAACCACAGATATCTATATTATACTAGATAACGAACTACCTGTAGTAAGCCCAAGGCTAGGCGTATTTTATAATCAGCATTTAATTAATTAATATCTAATAATCAAAAATAACTTATTACGCATATTAATAAATTCGCCAAGGTCCAGCTAAATTTAATAATCAAAATAATATTTTGATTATTTAATAGATTAAAATAGTATATGTGTAAAATAGATAATATATTAAATTCGCATATACGCAGGAAAACCAGGGTAAAGGTGAAAACAACAAGTAGTTTCACGTTTTTACATAATAATGCTAAATAGAGGGCAAAATAAAGTAATATTAGAATTAGGCCACTCTTACGTCATTGGAACCTGTATAAATACGGGTTGAGCATTTAGCATTATTCAGATGTAGATAGGTAGTTAGACTGATCATTTCCCCTGTTAAATAAATTATTGCTCGTCGTGGACTTTGTTACAGCCACATCGCCGCGAGTATATAATTCTTAGCCCAGAATAACTTGTTATTTAATTTTTTTGTGTTTTAACTGTTTGTTAATTTATTGTGATAAATTAATAAAAACAGTAAGTTTATAAGTTTAATGTACCAGTGTTAAATTTATTCACCTACCTATCTCTCTCAACCCACGTCTCAAGATTTCATACAACGTGCTACGTCGTTAAATAATTAATGTGTCAGTGATCGTAGTGTTCTGCACGAAGCTCGCTACATAAGCTTGGTGTCAGGTGTGGGGTTAACCTAACCTGCACGAGATCGCTACAT